AGTTTTTACGCGCAGAAATTCTGTTTGCGTTGTTTCCTGTATCTAGGGTACAATCTCTCTGTTTATTTTATTTTTCTTCGTTTACCAAATATATTAGTATGGCAACACTGATGTTTTGACATTCACAACCATTTTGTTATTGTCAAAATTAATAAAATTGAAGAATGATTTAAATATTGAAATAAAGCTATTTTTGCAGCATCTAATATAAAAAAAATTTCTAAAAACGAATTAGTCAAGTCTTAGTGGATATAAAAGTGAAAAATACAAGTGTATAATTCATTTTAAATAGCAAAAATACGTACTTTAAATAGTTGAAATTTTCAACTTTAAACGTAAATATCTCGAAAACTATAAGTTTCCCGCGGCTATATCTATATATATTCTTGGTCTGGAGGATCTCCTCTATCCGCCCATACCCATTTTATCCACGAAAGCGTGGGACGTTATTCTAAAGCCGACCCGATTTGTGTGTTTACATTTATGACACACACTGCCACAATTTATATCGCGAGTTCAGGAAAAATTATCAAACCATTTCTTTATATTGTGACGAACATAGAAGATAGAACAAAATCGAATGAACGATAAACTGCCAGAAGCAACTAGTTAGCGAATTCGTAGTTGCCAGAATGTTCTAGAAGCAATGTTTTGTTACAGATTTACTATATAAGGGCTGCCGGATCGTGCAGCAGACACAGTTCTAGTTGGAGTGTTTCGTGGTAAGAGCAATTAAGCTATAAGCAAGAAGTTGTAAGCTCGAATAACGAGCAATAAGTGTTAAGTTGTTGGAATTAGAAATAAAGATAAGTGTGTAGCCATTAAATTGGGACTTTTATTTATCAATCCAGTGATCGAACTCAAGAGTGAGTTACAGGTACAGGATTTATCGAAAAATCCGTTACAATTGGTTTCAGAAGTGGGATTGTCAAAAAAATTCCCAAGGAGATAATTATTTGAAAATATCCAAGTTTAACGATCTGAAGATTCCACAACTGAAAAAGGAGCTGGAGCAACGTTTTTTTGGCGACAAATGGATTAAAAACTGAATTACAATCACGGTTGAGAGAGGCCATGGAGGCGGAAAACATTAATGTTGAGGAATATGTCTTTCATATGGAATTAGAAGAAGAGAAAACAAAGATAGAAGAAAAGGAAGAGGCTCCATGCTCGTCAAAGATTATGGACATAAATATGGTTTTTGCCGCAATATCGCAAATGTCAACGCAAATATCGACACAAATTAAAGAGCAGGATACACGTATGTCTCAAATATCAACGCAAATGTCGACACAGTTTAAAGAGCAAGAAACGCGATTGTCAACGCATTTGGAAGAGCTGTTCGCAGCGCAACATGCACGTTTTTCAGCACAGTTGTCAGCACCGAAAGATCTCGGCGTGCATATGTCAGCGCAGGTATCCTCACAATTGGAAGAGGAGGAAGCATGTGAACCAGGATCTTCACAGTATGAAGAGCAAGAAGCTTGTATACCAGCAAAAGTGTCTTCGCAGTCGGAAGAACTGAACGGGCGTATGCCAGCGTAGGTGTCCTCACAGTCGGAAGAGGAGGAAGCGTGTGTACCAGTACAAGGGTCCTCACAGTCGAAAGAGCTGGAACTGCGTATGTCAGGGCAGGTGTTCCCACAGTTGGAAGAGGAGGAAGCGTGTGAACCAATAAAAGGTTCCTCACAGTTAGAAGAGTAAAAAGCTTGGAAACCAGCACAAGTGTCCTTACAGTTGGAAGAACAGGAAGCGTGTATACCATCACAGGTGGAAGATCAGCATAAAATTGAACCTGAAACGGATGACTCTGTGCAAAAAGATCCAGAATTGGAAGGTGCATTACATAAGGTGGAGTTAAACCAATGTACAACGATTGAAGAAATAACTACAGGAAGGCCAGTCACAAAATCATATTGGGCAGAACGGAGCAGTTTAAAGTTAGGGTATGGCTGCTTGCATCGAGTATGGAAAAGCGAAAATGGGCAAACCTTCCGAGTACTCATGGTTGTTCCAAGGGTTGGAATTCCTGATGTTCTTAACGTGCAGTACAAATGTCCAAGAGGAGGGCACTTGAGAGACATGAAATCCTTGGAGCATTTGAAGCAAAGGTTTTATTGGACTGGTTGTCAATCAGCTATAGCAAGGATTGCGAAATATGCTGAGAACATTGTAGCTAAAGGATCAAGGTCCAGGAGTCATGGGCAGATGATACAGCACAATTCGCGTGCGCCAGTTGAGAAAATAGGCGTGTATGAAGATGGTCCATTCCCCACCAATAAATTAGGAAATAGTCATGTGTTGGTAGTCAAGGACCATTTCAATGAATGGCCACAAGTATACACAATTCCTAACCAAAAGACTGAACCAGTGGCGGAGGCATTCATCAACAAGTGGGTAACGAGATTCGGTGTTCCAATGGAGTTACGTTCTGATCAAGAATGGAATCTCGAGTCATCTTTAAGTCAAGGGATGTACCAGAAACTGAGTATCCGGAAAACGGATGGAATTAACTCCCAGAAGAGAAGGACGGCTAACGATGTCAGCACCAGCCTAGAAGACGAGATGGGGACATAAAAGCTTTGTGTTTGGTATCGCAAATGTGTCTAATCGGGACGATCAGACTTAGGTGGAGGGCAGTGTGACGAACATAGATGATAGAACAAAATCGAATGAACGATAAACTGCCAGAAGCAACTAGTTAGCGAATTCGTAGTTGCAAGAATGTTCTAGAAGCAATGTTTTGTTACAGATTTACTATATAAGGGCTGCCGGATCGTGCAGCAGACACAGTTCTAGTTAGAGTGTTGTCGTGGTAAGAGCAAATAAGCTATAAGCAAGAAGTTGTAAGCTCGAATAACAAGCAATAAGTGTTAAGTTGTTGGAATTAGAAATAAAGATAAGTGTGTAGCCAATAAATTGGGACTTTTATTTAACAATCCAGTGATCGAACTCAAGAGTGAGTTACAGGTACAGGATTTATCGAGAAATCCGTTACAATATATCCATAACACACCATCACATGGGCAACCATTACATCGGGCAACACACTTTATGTCCCAACTACCGATCCGCATATTAGTAGTGACCTCGTTTTTGAATAATGTAAGCCGTTTTTGAAAATGAAAACCGATCAATCAGGCTCTGCCAAATGCTGGAAACGGTCACCGGCGGTATTTGTCAAAAATTATTCCCGTAGGGGCAATGCTGTTCTCTTTTGTTTTTATTTGACCAATTGCCATTCCTCAATCTGTATACATTGTTGCGCACACATCTAGTTTTTAAGATGTAATTTTTCATAATTTAGAAGATCAAAACTAAAATCCAACTATTAAAAATAGTCTATCTATTTTTAAAAATTGTATTCAACTGTCATTTTGAGTTTAAGAATATTTCAAATATATAAAATTTTTTTTTAATTACTAAAAATTTTTAGTGGATATTCTACCGTACGGTTCGTAGAAGCGGTGACTGTTTCCAGTAAAAGTCAGCGGCGGTTTTTTAAACATCAATTGCGGGACTGCAACTTACAAATACTTCAATCCGATCGCTGCACCAGCGAAACATCAACCCAAACACAACATTCCTAGCGCTGCACCAGTAAGACACAACACCGTCAATTTTTTATTACCACTGCAGATTCGGAGCTCAAGCCAAGAAGTACACTCACCCATTTACTTATCCGTTCCCTCAACGCAGACTCATACAACAACACTTCAATTACATCCACCAGCGCTGTCAGCCGAAAGTGTCGAGACCGAACACATCTGCCAACAATATTTATGTGGCTAACTACCGTTCGCCATACACACATCAAAATATGAGTTATACTGTATGCGGCTCCAATATGGATCCAGTCGCTAGACACAAAATCATATGCTAGATCAATAATCACAGTGTATAGGCTTTCTGCAATAAGCGTGATAAGTGCTTTCCGCACCGTATCAAGTGACGCTACTGAAGTATTGGCCAGTATGGTGCCCATTGACATCCAGGGAAATGCATTTGTGCGCTTATACCAGCTATCGGAAGCCCCTACAG